TTTGCGTAGCGTTTTTGTAAATTGAGACATCTCGTAGACTTCTCCAAGAACCGTTTGTGTGAGCACGGACGACCTGCAGTGCTGGTGATCACAGAATTCGCTTGCTTCTTCGGTTCTTCGAGGGTAATAGCACACGAAAACTTCTCGCTATAGAGGAAAGACACAAGGGCCATACCCCTCTCGACATTCTTCCAAATCGGTCAAGGACCACTTTCAGCACTTCTTCTGGCGACTTGGTTCGTGGGGTTTCAATTTTAAATCATTTTTGATTTCAGTTTTCGATTTTGTAGTTGCTAATTTTTCGATCCCAATTTTATGTCTTTATGCTAAATTTTGCTTGTTTGTGTGAGTAGTTTGCCTATGATTATTTATTTATTTACTAATCTTTTGCTTATTTATTTCTAAATCAGATCAATTCATGCCTGAATTCTTGTTTATTTGAAAGACCTTCCAACTTTTCATAAGAATATTTCTTTCACAATTTCTAGTTTGCTTTCTGGAAGAAATGACTTACTTTAGTGAATTAAGTAAGTTTTTTAACTTATTTGTTGACATTTGACATCACTTCTCCTCACTATTGTCATTTTATCGGTTGCTCTTTCAATACGCTTTGCACATAGTGAAAAACTTCAATTTTTATACATTCTAAAATTACAAAAATTAAAGTATACAATCATAAAAAGATTTTTTTGGAATATTTGCAATTCTCAATCACAAAATTTTAAAATTGAACAAATTGCATGCATATTCACAAGGCAGTAAAAAAAGTTGGAAAGATGATGAGAATTTTGTGAAAAGTTTGGATATTTGCGCTCTAAATCATCACAATTTCCAAATTTTTAGCAAAAAATTTGAATATTAAAAGAGAAAACTATCAAAATTCATGATAGAAAATTTCAGCTGCATACTGAATTACTACCCAACTAAAATTTGATTTTCTCCGTTCTAATCTTATAATACTTCAATCAAGCAGTCATCACTACTAAAAGGGACTGAACTTTTTATACTTTTGCAAAATATTTTCATCACTTAAAAATGTTTGGTGTAAAAGGTAAATATGTGTATATGGTTTTAGCAGACCAAAAATACCATTTTCGAAATAAAGTGCCTCTAAAATACAGTAACAAAATATATCAAAAGTAATTATTTTCCAAAGATTCAATGACTTCTACAGCAACATGCATCGCCAAATCGTCTGACTACCTTTGATTTGCATTAATATGTTTCAAATTTCAAGAAAAATTAGTCTTGGTACTTAAAAAGCAATATTTTAGTCAGAGGAAAAGAGATAATATCAAAATTAAAGCTCAGACCCATCAAAACTCAGTCACGGAGTAACTACAGCTATGTTATTCTAGATTCCTACTTTTTATGCATCGAGACAGAGCACTTCAATTTCACTGAAAAGTTAGTAAGTGTTTTGAGATAACTAGCATATTGACATTTACTTGGAATATATTTTTTGAACAACTGAGAGCTGAAAAAAGCATTTTTGTTTTTTTTTGTTTCCATTTGGCAAATTTGGAGATTGCGAATGTCCACTTCTTATTTTCGGCAACAGAATTTCGCACTGAAACATAGGGTAAAACCTATTGAACAAGTTCCTCTGTTGGATGGATATGGATACATATTTTGGTAGCTTGGCTGCTGGGGATAAAGTTGGGGCTGAGGTACAGGTTGGGGTTGGGGTAGGGATTGGGGTTGGGGTTGGGGTTGGGGTTGAGGTTGAGGTTGAAGTTGAAGTTGAGGTTGAGGTTGAGGTTGAGGTTGAGGTTGAGGTTGAGGTTGAGGTTGAGGTGGATAAGGAAATTGAATATAATTTGCAGATCCAGCTTGGAAAGAACCAGAAGTTGCCATGGGAAATTGATTGCCAAAAGATTGAGGAAGATATGATGGTGGCATCTGAAAATGATATTTCGAGTATTTTAAGTTGAATTTTGAAATTCAATCATTGTTTTTCATACCTTATCATCATTATTAGCCTTGATTCAGTACTAGTTTAAAAGAAATCCAAATATGAAAAAATATCAAAATACTGACGTGGCCTGGTTGTTTACCATCACTACAGCCAACACAAAAGAATATAATGCAACAGTAAATTGAACGACGTGGAACTAGCGTTGTTGGAGGTAATGTTGCTGGTGGCAATGTGTAAGTAACGGGCGGCATTGTGTAAGTAATGGGTGGAAACGTGTACGTGACGGGTGGCAGTGTTGGAGGTGGTAATGGATGGGGCATTGGTGGATAAATACGTGGTACTTTTGGTGTACATTTGCATATCTGTGGACAAGAACATGAAATTTGTAGTGAAATAGAAATTGATGGACAGCTACAAGCAGACGGTTGGCAAGAGCAACGTTTGACAAGTTTACGTTCTGGCTTGCCGAGAGAAGTTTCCACCTTTGATTTCTAAAATTATGCCATTATAAACTGATGCAAAAAAAATCGTTTATATTTTAATTATAGTTTTAAATACTCGTTCAAAACATGATTCTAATATTTTTCAGCGAAAAATATCAAATAAATAAATGTAAAAAATATTTTGGGTGAATTTTTTAAATTATTGTAATTATGTAATAATTTTATATCTCAACAATTGAAATACTTTTATAAAAAAATAGATATTAATAATTAAATATTATTATAAAAGAGATTGTTGCTTATGCCAAGAAATCTTTGGATTGTTGAAATTATCCATATGTACATTATCAACTACAAAAAATAAATAAGCTAACAGACCAAAAATAGCAAAATGTCTGTAGAAAAATTTCCAAATTACTTTTAATTCATTTTATCACAAAATTTTTCAAAAACCTTTTGGTGTGTAAATTTATGACCATTCCACATTGATTATTATTACTAAAAATGTTAAAAAGATTAACAGTAATGACAGTATAGAATTTTCTGAGTGCCATTATTACCAAAATAATGAAGATCAAAATAGTACTTAGCATTGAGATCAAAAATATTTTTTTTAAAAAGATGAAACTTGCAAAGCTAAAATATTATACAAAACATGATATGCGTACAGAATTACAAATTTAATTCTAATAAAGCTTAGTACTCTAATAAGTAAAAAAGTATTTGAAGTAATATGAAACTTACAACTTCTCCAACAGAAATGCTGAATATTAGCGTGAAAATCGAGAAGGCAGAAATGAGTTGCATTATTAAAATCTTCCAAAACTTGAAATTTCCCGAACAACTCCAAACTAAATTCGACACAGCTCACCACCTTTACCACTGCGTATATATTTGAAGTTTCTGATAAGGTAAACACGAATACAGGTAAGCTGGAAAAAGTACAAAAGACAGAAGGAAATACTTTGAAAAAATGTTGACAACGATCAACTGAATAGTTTTTGATGAAGGAAAAATCGCGAAATAACCTGAAATTCAAGATAATACAATTTACTCTGTTAAAGTTATGCTTACAAAACTAGAATTATTACTTATTATTCACCACTCGCCTACAAAGTTTACGCAATGTTTCACTTTCTTGAAACTCTATTAGAAGCTATAATGCAATAAGTTTTTAGTCGATAAAAACAACGTAAATTGAAAAAATTTAGAAATTGTTCTTAATTATACATATTTATTTATCTATTTTACGACTTACAAGTTTATTTGTTTAAGAATAGATAAGATTTTTTGAATAAAAAAGTATTGTGTATTTTGTCTTTTTGATGGATTATCTGTATGATTGAAAAGTAAAAAAGGATTAAAGAGGTGAAAGTTGAATCAAAGAATGAACATTTTAAGTGAATGAAAATCGTGATTACATTTCAAATTTTCACTACCTCACATTTTTGCAATATTTTCTGACTGTTACAGAAATACTATTCATACTTTGAATAAAGTAAGTTAAGTTAAGGTTACAAAATTAGTCATTAAAATTATCAGCACTTTTTTGTATAAAGAGCTTCAATTACTTTTACAAATCATAAAATTCAAATTTTGATTACATGTCATGGAAAATGAAAGTAAGCAAAGATTAATCAGACAAATAAACTAAAACTAGACTTGCAATATTTGAAAAAGTTTACGCTCATTTTGAAGCTTGAAATAACTTCTGGTTGAATGAGTGTTTATTTTGAGAATTAATCCGAAATTTTAACTACACTAAATGTCAATTTGCAATTCGATTTTCTGTGCTTTCTTGTTCCGTTTCACCTTTTGTTTTTTCTTATTCTGCAAACTATTTACTTACTTTAAGAAATTTTATAATTTCTTCAAACAAATCTCTCAGACGAAAATATCTCTCACAAATCTAACATTAGCTTAATCGAAGTAAACTGCACTATTTACAAACATATCACACATATCCATCATTATTTTTAAATTAGCAAACGAATATAACTTTCTGAAATTGAACTTTGCAAAGAGTTAGTTAGTGAGTTATTTTCAAAAGAAAAAGAATGACCGGTTTATGACAAATTCTTTGAATAGTAATTGAAATTCGGGAGTTGAGTTGGAGTATTTTGTAGTTTAGTAAGCTAAAATGAAAAAAGGAATCTACCTGAATGAGAAGACTGGTATGTACGTTTCACTGACTCACAGTGTAAATTCTAATACATCCAAAATTGTTATAAAAGCTACTGAGAAGTAAATATTTCTTGACCAATCCTCTATCAGTCTTAATTTCTGCAATTTTCTATGAATTTTTAAATTTGCACATTGACGTGACTACGGTGGATCATGCATATCCTTACGACAGTAGCAAGTTTGGTTATAATTGCAGTCTTGGCCAATTCGATTACTGAAGCGGTAAATTTGCAAACTTAAGCATTCATCTATATCTAATTTGGATCAACCAGTATTATTCTTTCATTAAAATATTCTGTACAATGTCTAAAAGTTAACTTCTTCTTGGAAAGCATTCAGATTACTTTTACTTTGTCTTATAAATTATAACTTGTATAGGTGCTTAAAGTTATAGGTTGACTGAAATTTTTGCACTCAAAAATATGTCCTGAAAATTTTAGTTAAATTGGACCAAATGAAGTAAAAAGTACCAGTCACTTTCAATAAATCTGCTTAACTTTAATTAATTGTCTGCTCGTCAAATTAGTTTGAATTTTGTGTTTAAATATTTACTATAATTTGAAGACAAGCAAACAAAGCAAATTTCATAAAAGTTTATGATTTTGGAAAATAAAATGAGATTGTTGTCATTTCTTTAAAAAAAATTTTTTTAATTCTGAAAATGTAATCAAATTTATAGCATAAAACTGTGAAATGTTTTTTACTTTACATAGGTCTACCGAAATTCATTACTTTTCACTTTTTTGTGTAATTAAAGGATTTTTCAGAGACCACAAAGTTCCGAAAATGGTCTGCAAATTTTGCATAAATTGGTTAAACGTAATTGCTATTGTCCACCATCATCTTGTGGTTGTGTATCGCTAGCTCTCACGTTTCATATTTCTTGCTCATGCCCACAGATCTGTAACTGTGCACCTCCACCGCCACCACCACCGCCACCGCCACCACCGCCACCGCCACCGCCACCACCACCACCG